GGGGGGGGGATTTTCATCGTTCAGGCGCTGAGTGCTTTCGCACGATTTAACGAACCGGCCCGGGGGAACATTAAGTGATTTTTTCCCCTTATCGCTAATGGGCGCCCTAAAGTTACGTGAGTGGGTGCCCGATGTGCGTCAAATGGTTGTTTAACTGCGCGCCACTGCGCCATTTACGGGCGGACGGACAAAAATCAAAAAGCCCTTAAAAGCCCTTGAAATTCCACGTGTTTTTTGTTCAGAAAGTTTTTTGATGCGGCTGCAAATAAGCGCGCTAGAGCCCCAGTGACATTGACGCCCTTTCACTGTGCACGTCAACGGTTTTTCGCTGGTAACTCCACGATCAAGGGGGCGATTTCGGAGATTCAAAAAAATCCCCAAAGCCCTTGAGGGTGTGATAATTTTTCGTCCGAAAAGTTTTCTCATCGGGGGCCCAATAAGGACTTTATAGCCCAAAATAACAGCGCCGCCCTTTTGAAAAATTTCCCGGTAACCAAAATGCAACAAGCTGACCAAAACTCCAATATGGATGTTCAAATTGAACGAAAATTTCATCTTTAAATGCTGTTTTTCCAGCATCTTTGAAAATGGAATTTGAAAAGCGAAAAAACCTCCACAAAGCTGTTCAGCAAATTCTCCACAATTTCGGCAGCAAAAGTTTCGAAATCCGTCCATTAATAAAGACGGTAGAAGGCAAATGACAACGCCGCCCCTTGGGAGGAGCACCAAATCACTCTATGGCCCACAGCTCGGTTATTAGTGGTCCGATTTAAAAAATTCAAAATCTCCCAAAAAGCGCTTTAAAATCTGCACTCTTTCAATCAGGGCGTCTTTGAATCAAACCGCGAACAAGGACGCCAACCGTAGAATAACAGGGCCGCCCTTTTAAGCTGGGCGCCGGCGCCCACTTTTTTGTTAAGAATATTTTCGGATTGCGTTGATCGAACTAATAATGGCGCCGTTTTGAACGTTTCGCCAATAATTGATTTGAATTTGCCGAGTTTTCGATGCATCAACCGTGCTTTCGCTCACAACTCTGCAACCGAAAATGGCATTTGAAAAGCGAAAAAACCTCCACAAAGCTGTTGAAATTCCCCCCAATTTTGGCTGCAGAAGTTTCGAAATCCGTCCATTAATAAATACGATAGAAGGCAAATGACAACGCCGCCCCTTGGGAAGAGCACCAAAGGTCACAGCTCGGTTATTAGTGGTCCGATTTCAAAAATTCAAAATATCCCAAAAAGCGCTTTGAAATCTGCACTCTTTTAAGCAGGGCGTCTTTGAATCAAACCGCGAACAACGACGCCAACCGCAGAATAACAGTGACGCCCTTTTAAGCTGGGCGCCGGCGCCCACTTTTTTGTTAAGAATATTTTTGGATTGCGTTGATCGAACTAATAATGACGGCGTGTTGAACTTTCGCCAATAATTGATTTGAATTTGCCGAGTTTTTGATGCATCAACCGTGCTTTCGCTCACAACTCTGCAACCGAAAATGGGATTCGAAAAGCGACAAAACCGCCACAAAGCCCTTGAAATTCCCCCCAATTTTGGCTGCAGAAGTTTCGAAATCCGTCCACTAACAAGGGCGGTAGACGGCAAATGACAACGCCGCCCCTTGGGAAGAGCACCAAATCACTCTGTGGCCCACAGCTCGGTTATTAGTGGGCCGATTTGAAAAAACCCAAAAGCCCCTGGCAGCTAAGGGCAACCCCCAGACTTCGCCGTTAAGAAACTGCCCGTTCCCCGTCCCGGCAGGGGTGGGGGAGGCAAAGTAACGGCGCCGCCCTTTTATAATGCACGCGTTTCGGACGCAACTGGTGGAAAAGGGGGCCGCAAACCAGCCGCCCGGGGCCCGCCAACCCCTCGCCAACTCAACGCGAATAATCCCCTGTGGCAGAGCGTCAAAGGCGTGCAGAATGGCACACTTCCTTCCGCCGCTTTAGCCAAGTGGATAATTGACTCCGTCTGGGCACCAGGCTTTTACCGGTGGATTTGCGGCCCCATTTTCCCATTTATCCCGGGATTATTGTCGTCGACTTACCCTTGAAAAGGGGGCAGAGCCGCCCCCAGCACGTGATCGCCCCCTTCCGGTTGTACTGGCCGAGGGCCAACTCCATGTAGAAGAGCGGAATGCCGCCGATCACCAGCATGATGCAGTAGGGAACCAGGAAGGCGCCTAGAACAAAGCCCCACTTCACTCTGTATCGGTGCCAATAGCTGGCCGCCCTTTTTCCCCATCGGGAGCGCGAAAATTGATGGATCAAGGGGGCCGCGTTTGACTCAATTAACGGTGCCATTAACCGTCCAAAGTGGCAACGCTTTCAATATCGCGCCGCCCCAAATTCCATTAGCGATAATTCGATTCGCCCTCTCACTTTACCTCCGCCATTCTTGAAGCACAAATAGGGAAATCGCCACACGTTTGCCAGATCGACGGCGAATCCGATCACCGACAGCAGAAAGTCGACTTTTTTGCCCCAAGTTTCGCGATGATCGGCCGTTTGCATGACGGGGGGCGGCCCACGATGACCGTTCGGGCGGCTAGTCGTCGACGTCATTGTCCAGGGGCGGCTGCTGCTGATGGGCGACCGTTACGAAGCAAAGCCGCCTCTGATCGCAGGTGAGGCTGCAACAAACAAGGTGATGATTGTTTTATTCAGAAGGCCTGAGGAATTGTTTGCGCGCCGTCCGATCCAGACCCACTT